CGGGCCCTCGCCCCTGACTTCCAACCCCGCAACCTGGGACCAGCCCCGGGCAGTCTAGGCCGCCGGAGGTAGCGGAGGAGACTGGGCCAGCCCGAGGTGCAATCAGAGCCGGCGGACCCCAAAGCAAGACCGCGGCCCCCTCCAGGCCGCGCTACCTCGGTTCCCAGGCTCCCAGGCTCCCAGGTTCCCAGGCTCCTAAGCTCCCAGGCCCTTAGGATCCGCCGCGATCCGCCGCCGCCGCCGCCGCGCCGGTCGATTGGCTGTGAAAATCACGTCTTCCGGGGGCGGGCCCAGGGAGACAGCCAATGAAATTGGTGGAGAACCGGCCCGAGAGGTCAACAGGGAACCGGCTGGTCTGGGGGCGGGGAGAGGGCGGGGCTTCAGCTCCTGGACTGGCCCCTCGCCCCACCCGTCCGCCCTCTGGCAGCTGCGGCCCTCAGTAGTTTTCCAGCCCGTCCCAGAGGTTCAGCGGTGGAACTCCAGAGACCTTTGACCAGCCTGCGTGTGACGATCTGTAGGCAGGAAGCAGATCCCTAGGAGTGGCTGTCACCTTCTGAGATCTCCTGAGATCTGGCGTGGGGTCTTTCTGTGTGGGCGATCCCGGGATCAAGAGGTTGCCCTGTCCCCGAGAATAAAAAGAAAAGTCCAGGAATTTACACGTTGACAAACACAGACAGATGTGGTTATCAGATGTCGGGTAGCGGAGGGTCTCATAAGCTTAAAAGTGATAAAACTCTGACGTCCAAAGGCATAAATATGGGAACTTCCCCAAAAGGCACTCAAAATAAAAAGCAAACAGTAATCTGGGGAGAAATATTTGCAAATAACACTACCGAGGACTAAAATCCTTAACAGCCCTCATCAATGGAATAGGAAAGGCAAGACCTCAAGCGATGGGAATTCCCCCCAAAATACAGATGGTCCGCAGCAGGGGCGGGGCGGGGTTAAACTTCAATAGCAATCAAGGACAAGGCGAGTACTGAAACAGGAAGATCTCAGAAAGCTGAGCTTTCCCACCCCACTTAGAATAAAGACGAACTAGGCATGGTGGCACACACCTGTAATCCCAGTACTTGCTGCTACTGATACAGGAGATGAAATAGGAAAATATTGTTATCTCCCAACCTGTTATACATCTGATATGTCGAGTTTATGTTCTCTAAATGGAAGAATGAATTCTAGGAACAAGGGAGGTTAAGAGTAGGAAAATATTTATTGAGAGGACATCCTGAAAAGCAGGGGGTAACCGGAATGGGTATCCAGGGACCCCACTCTACAGGCAAGTTTCACAGAGCACGACTCACATGAGTACAACGTGGGTTACAGCCACGATCAACCAGAAAGGTTACAAGTACAGTCACTCAGGTAACAGTGATCCAAGGAAGCAAGTCACATCGCAAGGAAGGTTTGAGGTCTTGGTCACCCACTGAGGCGACTGATGCCTAGCTAGACTTTACGAGATCAGGTGTTATCACTTATCCCGAAGGAAGTATGTAGGCCTGGTCCTTTTGTCCTCATCTTGAGGCTTGGCCTCTAGCTCATGTGTCTCTGGCCACCATTTTAGTGTCTCTTAGAGGACTCAGCCCTGTCTAGTTACCTACAGTACTTTAATTTAGCTATCTATAATACCACCACGCAGCTGCATGAAGACGGGGGATGGGATAAAGGCCCCTGCCAAGAGGCGTTCAGCTAGCTTGCTCTGCACTTTCTACTCCGCAGGGGTCCAGAATTTCTTCTCTCCTGGAGGATGGAGCTACAAGGCGTCAAGTTGGAGGCACAGAACCAGCCGGCACCTTGACCTTGGAGTCCCCAGCTCCAGAACTGTGAGAAAACAAGTCTGTGCTCCGTGTGAATCACCTAGCAGTGAGTGTTCGGTTGGAACAGTACAAACCAAGTGAGACAGGGGTCACCAGGCCTAAGTGTTGGGGGGCAGAAGAGTGAGACTCACTGCTTAATGGGGACAGAGTTTCAGTGCTGGAGGTGGACGGTGGCGTCGGATGTACAACGATGATAATGGACTGAACACTGCTGAACTGTGCATGTGAAGAGGGTTAAAAACTGCTTTTCCTGTGTATTTCACCACAATTTTGCAGAAACTCAGGGAGGAGTTACAGTATGTTTTTCTAAAAGGCTCTGCATGTTCTGGTTGTGTCCTGTGGGTAAGCGAGGAGCATGTGGAGCACACGGAGAGAGAGGAGGGGTGCGGGGACAGCCACCTCGGCTGGAGCTGCAGAGCCCCCAACGGGGCAGCTGCTCCCCACAAAGGGCCAGTGAGTCCTGGAACCCGGCTGTTATACTGAGACGCTCTGTAAGGGCAGTCTGCGAGCCAGAATTTGAAAACAATATGAAAGAAAAAACATTATGTGATTTGCATGCTAGACTAGTAATTTATTAGATAGATTGGGTTGAATTAAGTTCACCTGTTTCTTCACTTGTTGCATTTGGCTACTAGAAAATACAAACTTTCAACTTTGGTTCACATTGCTTCCGGTCCCTTAGGGTGCCTGACTCCCTGTGTTCGGAGACTTCCTTCTTTTCCGTGTTCTCTCCAGGCCTCCGTACGTATGCAGATACCCGAGCTTCTTCGGAGCAGGGAGGCACCAGGAGCTCATCGGTGGCGGGTGGAAGCTTGAGGAGAGTCAGAAGCCCGAACGGGAAGGAAGGGCGGGGACGCACTCAGGCCCAGCCTCACCTGGGACCTGGGAGCTGAAGCACCAGCGCCCCCCAGTGGCAGGGTCCCGCGGGATGCATCCGAGTGCTGGAGGGGCGGGTGACTAGGCGCCCGGGGTCCCAGCACCCTTGCAAGGGGCCACTTCAGGAGAACTGAACAGCCTGCCTGTTATGAGCTGAGCTGTGTGTCCCCACCCGTGCTGGTGTCCAGGCCTGGGGTCTAGGTGTTCTGAAGGGTGGCCTCCTGGACACCGTCCTTGGGACCGGCCACCACCTGGGTGTCCCTTAGGGACCCTGAGTTTGTATTTAGGAGCTACAGCTTTCTCTGAAATTGAAAATTCGAGTGTAACTCATAAGTCACTTCAGATTTGCAAGTGTTTTTCTTTTTACAGCTTTATTGAGATCTAGTTCACATGCCTTAAAATCCACAGTGGAAATTTACATTCTGGTCCACTTTTGAGTACAGCTGTATCTTGTGATTAATGGTGGGGACAGAGTCGCTTTGCATTCAGGCGAATTAGTAATAAAGAGAACCAAGGAAAGAGAGCGGTGCAGACTCTACAGAGCCAGTTTGGCGGTTCGGGTCTTGTCCTGAGGGTGAAAACCGGGAGGACATTGATGAATGACCTTCAGCTGATGTCCCATTTAGGAAAACATTTGGAGCCCTGGTTCATGTTTCTAGGATTCATTTAGAGGTGCTGAGTAAACACAGCTTTTATTTGCTTTGTGTATGAAAGGTTCAGTGATGTTGGGCAGCCGGGTATGGAATGGGAAAACTAGGGTGTCCACTGGAATTCAGGGTGAGGAAAAACAACCCCCCTCTCATTTTTCCCTTTCCAATGCTTTCAGTGAAGGGGAAACTCCCAACTCATGAATGCCTGAATATTTTCTAGTGAGAATGAGAAGCTCACTTCTTCCTAATTTCTTGGCCCGTTTTCAGTAGCAGCACTCACACTCGGTTACTACGACTCTGTTCTGGTGGCTCTCGGCCTAGATGGTTAAAGCGTTCGTCTCTGGCTCCATTCTTTGCTGCCCTGATCATCTGAGAACCACAACAGGAGCCAAAACTGATTCCGCCCCAAAGCTGGGCCTAGGAAAGATCCAGACTCTACACGGGAGGTCTAATTCAGATTATTGACCCTATGTGGTGGAGAGAGCAAGAATCAGCCTTAGCTGGTTTAAAACAGAGAATATGTTCTGAAAGGGAGAGGGAAGGAGGGAAGAGCATGGACATCCCAAAGGAAAGTGCTGAAGACACCAACATTTGGGATTCCCTAATTAGGGCCCAGCCTCTTCAGTTGATAGCAATGGTTCTTAGCCAGAGGAATGTTTGCCCCAGGGGACATTTGGCATGTGCAGGACCCAGACTGGCATGTGTGCATTTGCTACATGTGCTTATGGATGCTGCTAAACATTATACATTACACAGACACACACACCCAACAAAGAATTATCTAGCTCAAAACGTGCGTTGTGCCAAGGCTGAGAAAACCGCCCTGCAGAGAAACTTGGTGTGCTCAAGAGTCATTCAGGAGAATTTTTAGTCTTTTACTCTGAACCTGAGCAGGCAATGCCAATTAGCAGACATTAGCAGAACGCCTCTGCCATAAATGATAGTGATCAGAACATCCAGAGAAAAATCATCTGGAGTGAAACAGACTGCACAGAGAATTCGAGAGAGAAAACTACATCCATAAAACAAGAACAGAATGTTATTTTAAAAGGGAGAGGCCAAAACAAATAAGAACTCTTAAGTTTTTTGAGACAAGCTCTCCCTGTGTAGTTTAGGCTGGGCTTGAACTCACTACGTAGCCCAGGCTGACCTCAAACTTACAGCATATTCCTTCTGACTCAGCCTCCTGAGTACTTGGATTATGGGCATTGCACCACCATGCCCAGCCAAATAGGAATGCTCTAAAGTTAAAAATTTGGCAGAAATAAAAAACTGAATAGCTTAAATATTTAGTTGAACAACTTTATGAAGTTGAGTGGGACACACACACACACACACTGGAAGGATTTTTCTTTCCTGTTCTGCTTTTCTCACTCAGTAACCACACCCATTAGTCCCTCTGTGTCATGCATTCCACATCAGCCTGACTGTAGTAGATGCTGAAGTTGCCACAGTGACTCCTCCCCAGTCATCCCAGCACCAGGACTGGTTTAGCAGACTCGGTCTCTCCCCAGACATTTCCTCAGCCCAGGAGCTGTGTCACCCAAGCCTGGGTGCCCTGCTCAGGGCAATCGGCTTTGAATGACTGCTTAGTGCAGGGCACCAAGACACAAGCCCCCTGCATCAGTTAGGGACACCTCTGAGGCTGCGCCAGCTCCAGCTCTCCCTGTGGGCTGAGGCCTTTGATGTCCAGTCTTGCATCCCTCACCTGAAGGCTGTCCCTAGTAAATGTCCTGCCAGAAAGTCCCTACCTGGAGTCTGTGTCCTGGAGCCAGATGTTTGGCAGTGGGCACCAGGGTATCTTGGGAAACTGACTCCAAAATGGGATCTTGGAGCTGGATGCCCTGCTGCCCTGCCATGAGAGCCCAGCCCTGGCAGGAGCTGAGGCTGGCAGCCCATGG